GCTTCCCTGTCCTTCACTATCTCTCAGAGTTTGCTCAAATTCATGTCCATTGAGTCGGTGATGCCATCCAACCATCTCATCCTCTGTTGCCCCCTTCTCCTCCTGCCCTCAATCTTTCCCAGCATCAGGGTCTTTTCCAATGAGTCAGCTCTCTGCATCAGGTGGCCAAAGTATTGGAGTTTCAGCTTCAGCATCAGTCCTTCCAATGAATATTCAGGACTGATTTCCATTAGGATTGACTAGCTTGATCTCCTTGCAGTCCAAGGGACTCTCAAGAGTCTTCTCCAAAACCACATTTCAAAAGCATCAGGTCTCTAGTGTTCAGCTTTCTTTATGGTCCAACTCTCATATCCATACATGACTACTAGAAAAACCATAATTTTGACTAGATGGACCCTTGTTGGCAAAGTGATGTTTATGCTTTTTAATAGTGTCTAGGTTTGTCATAGCTTTCTTTCCAAGGAACAAGCATCTTTTCATTTCATGGATAGCTCAATAAATGTTCATCAAATATTGATGTGCTTCCCTCATTTCCTAGCCCCCTTTTAGTTGGGCAGGATCATGTGATTAGGTCAGGTCAATGGACCATGAGCAGAAGCAATATCAGTCAATTCTTGACCAGATCATTTAATGGCTGGTAAGCAACTCTCTTCACAGATGGCAACCAGAGGCCACTTGTTCCAGATGATGTAGCCACAAGATGGAGGAGGTTCTGTCAGTCTAGGTTTCTGAGTGACTATGTGGCCTCCTCTACTCCCTGGCCACACAGCCTGGCTTTCAATAACTGCTCCCCACTGCCTACTCAGCTTCATGACATATTTGCATGCTCTTCTCTGGCTTATTGACTTTCAGTCTCCATTTGCTTCTCCTCTCTGACCACTCTCTTGGTTTGTGCCTCTTTGAAGCTATATCCAGTATACTCTCACCAACAACCGTAACACTGCCCCCAAACCTCACTGAGCTCCCTCCCAGTGAAAATTTAGACAATAGTAAAGAAGGTAATCAATGGATTTTACTGTAGAAGCGATACTGAGCATGAGGTATGTAAGGCAAAGTTGACCCAATATGAGGTCAGAAGCCAGGAGGACTGGGAACCAGTGCAGAGTGTGAAATGGCTCAAGACCAAGCCATTGAATGGTGCCTGGCTGACTGAGATGAACTCCCCAACCCTCTTCTTTATGTGGTCCCAGCTGTATGGTATAGGGGCATGCCTACAGCTTAAAAACAAACAGAAAAGGTAGAATCTGACATCTGTAACACTGAAGATACCAGATAACATGATTTCTATGAGAATATGTTTCTAGACTTGTAGCCTGGCTTGACAAGAGTACACCTCTGCCCAGCTGCTCTGGTAGATGCAGTGGGGACAGTCCCACCCCAACAAGCTGAAAAAGCAGGAACCCCTGGCGAGATCTTCTATAGCTGAAAGCAGGTGTCATTGTTGGGACCTGCATTAAAGTCTTGAAACTTTTTTTCCCCATGAAGCGTATCTGTTTAAAGTCACACACTGGGAGCTGTCTCTAGTCCACTGTGTTTGTATCTAAGCTAGTTTGGGTCAGAGCATACACACCAAAGTTGTGGACCCTCTCGTATACAATGTCTTGATGACTTTTGCATAGGGAGCTTTTATTCTCCGTTGAAGGCAGATACTAAGCAAGACGGTAAAAAAGGAAATGGATAGTCTTGGGGCCAGAAACAAAGGACACCAAGAGATACTAATTTCAAACACCCTACTTTCACAGCTGGCTGGAAAGATAAACATCTCTAGGTCTAAACTGTCATCTCTCATTTCCTAACACAATCACTTTCCCTGTCATAGATGTATAACCTAACTTCTTTGCAGGAGGAGCAGAAGTCACTGTATCTTTTTTAAAATTAATTAATTTGGCTGTGCCATGTCTTAGCTGCAGCACGTGGGATCTTTAGTTGCACCATGTGGGGTCTAGTTCCCTGGCCAGGGATTGAACTGGGGCCCCTTACACTGGGAGAGTGGAGTCTTAGCCACTGGATCACCAGGGAAGTCGCATCACTGGATCTTTTTTTCCTTCTACTCTACCTCATCATAGCACTCTGCATGTAGTAGTTGCTGAATAACATTTGTTGCCTTGAGATTTTTCCATCTGAAGAGCAAGCAACTGAGTGCATTTCCTTCTCCATTCTAATGAACTCCAAACCATCTCACTTTGTTTTCCTTTCTTTCCACCAGCCCTAGAAATTCCAGAACACTGTCTATACAGTGGAAGTACTATGATTTCAGAAGGAATATATGCTTGCTCTCTTCCTCCCTAGAGGCTCATCAGGACCAAGGGAAAGGGTCAGTCAACTAACAATTATCTACTGGACACCTACAGTATGCCAAGCGGGCCGCCACTGCACAGTAGTTACAGCTCCTTGGAGAAAGCTTCAAACCCAAGAGGATATTGCCATTGATAGTTTCCAATGTCATTTGCTTTTCCCCTATATTAAAGTGCTGCTGCTTCTAGCTACTCAGCTTTATGTTTCAGCTTTATGTTTCTCTGTCTTCATAAACAAAGCTAGTCTAGACATTATAGCAGGTAACAGGCCAAGAAAATTCAATTTATTCTGATTATCTATCATTTGTTGAACAATTTCAAGATTTTATAAAGGATATGTTACAGTGCTTCTCTTTAGGGTCCTGTGCCAAGTACCTGACAAGCCACAATATATTGAAACACTTTAAATAGAATTCAACATTTCTCAAGGAATGATGTTTTACTGCTAGGTGCAGCAAACTATGGCCCATGGGCCAAATCCTACCTACTTGTTTTTATCAATAAAGTTTTATTAGAATACAACTAGGCCTTTTTTTTTTTTTTTTTACATCTTGTCTACAGCTGTTTTCATGCAGGATAGCAGTGCATGGGTGAAAACAACTGAAAGAGTTTCCCTGTCTCATGGGCCCAATGTTTGCCATGGTTGTCACATTCATTATTTCACATGATCCACAAACCCCTCTGACATAATAATAGTTGACATTTATTGTGTTAATCAGTCGTGTGCTTTATCTGATGCCCATACTTAGGTTGGGAAAAGATTACAGGTTCCATTCACCTGTAACTGAAAGCAAGAATTCCTTCCACTATGAATGTAGACAACAAATCAAAGGCCTACAAGCCACACCTGTGCCTTCATCACCATCTGCAAGCTCTCAGGTACTTGTCCAGTGCACGGCAGTCACTGAGTTCTCACAATACCGTTTCCATTCATTATTACCTTGAAATAGTGGTAGATATAAGACAGACTCTAAACCTGTTATTTATTTCAGATTTAGAGGTGTATGCGTGAGCACATATACCACAAATCTGTTTTTAAAAATATGTCAACAACTTTGTTTCATTAGAACTCATTTCCCCTTGGTAATCTAAAGTACTGGATTTCTGCATTTAAGAGTATTACTCTGAGAAGGGGGCCTAGAGGCTTTGACAAACTGCCGAAGGAAGCTGGGTGCAAGAAGGTTAGGTAGCCCTATGCCAAGTGCATGAATTCACTGAGCACTCGCATCGCCTGGGTGATGGGTGCTATAATCAGCCCCTGCCCACCCCCTCCTTACATGGGAGTACAGTGGGGGCAGTGGGGAGAGAGCTAATACAATGCCCAAAGTCACACAGCTAGTAGTAGGGCTGAGATTGGAAACCGGACAGCTTGAGCACGGAGTCTATTCTCTTCTTAGTCAATATCCTATATGCGACTACCTTCATTGTTTAAGTGTCATTATTCCCATTTTACAAGTGAGCAAACTGATCCTTTTTCTAAAGGTTGAAGGTGATGGATGTTATGAGTCTTAGAAAGTAGTAAAAAGCATTTCTTGAACACCTACTGTGCTAGGTGGTTTTCAAACACCTTTCATTTTACCCTCTTAATAGCTATCTTCAGGGTTTTGACCGATGAGTGAACAGAGAACTGGGGAGGATAAGCAACTCGATCACCATCGCCCTGCTGGGGGGTCATGGAGACCATGTCTGCTCACTTCCAGAGTGCCTCTGTCTCTGTCTCTCTTTCTCAACTACACTGTGCTTACTAATTGGTATGTAAATTATCTCAGGCAATCCTGAGGTCTTATTTCATTCATGGGTTTTTCAGTGAGGGAAAAATTATTGCAAGGAAATGCTCTTGCCCTCTTTCTACTAAAGCAAAAACGGTTTTTCATCGAAATGGATGGGTTAAATCAGGATAAATTTGCATGGTGGGTTTTTAAGAAAAATATTTCAAGTGAGGTTTAAGAATTCCACAAAACCACATGTAAGAACTAAATTGAAAAATAAAGTGGTAGGTTGATATGCATTATTATGATGGATGTTTCAAGTGAAAATAATATTGGTAAAGGTTACTTTCAAGCTATCCTCATTAAGACCTTTTTTAAGGAATTGCAAGAAATTATGGTGCAAACCTGTTTTAAGGGTTTCACATAACATGGCTTAAACAATACTGACTTCACCTCAAAAAGTATACTCTTACTCAATTACTTGGCCTGATAACCTCAGTACACTTCAAATCATGGCAAAGTTTCAAGTATTTTGTATCAATCCCAATTTAAAAGTCACGGAAAGCAGCTACGGATGGGGAAATTCTTTTTCTGGCTAAGAACAGCTTTGCTTGGATCTGAACTGTTTATACTCACAAATCACAGTGTCGTTCAGACACGGCCTAAGCTTTTCCTTGGCAATAATGCTTAAGTCGGCCCTAAGAGAATGCAGAAACCCCGCCCCAGAAAGCCGTTTCATTAGCAGCCTGGCTCTTCCTGCTAGGAGAGCTGCGTTTCCCAAGGCTCTCTGTGGTCGCAAACCACGTTTCTAATGCAACTAAAAGATTCCTCTTCACGGACACTTAATGATGCCGAGTGTGTCATTACGACAAAAACAAACAAAACCTTGTGTCTTCAGAAAGGAAATCTAGGGCCTCATAGTCCAGCAATGAACACAGAGGAGTGAAATGAAATAGCCCGTGTTTGAAGAAGCCCTTCAGGATTCTATGGGGCGTAGGAGAAGGAGGCCCCGCATTTGCATTTGGCAGAGTTCAGTCCTGGCAGCGCCACGCTCAGCCCCTCTGAACCGCAGCCACTTCATATGCTCAGTGGCACGGGATGCCACCAGCGCCACATCCAGCCTTGTATTTATTTAACTCCGTGTGACGGGCCCTGTGCTAAGCACGGGGCGTTCGCGGTGAACGATGCGTGGGACCTGCGCGTGGGAGAGCGGCCGGCTACTGGGATCGCGTGAGACTCGCATCGGTATTACGGTGTCACCGTCTCAGTGTCTCTGAAGCCTCTCCCCTTCAGTCTGTTAGTCTGTTTCATTTCTATTGTGAACCGTGTTTGTTGAGAGCTTCCCTAATAACAGAAATGATTTGTGACCGTGTTCAATGATCTAGAAAGCACCCCCAAAACAAAGGGAAAATATAAAAACACCCATCGTCATGTTCAAATGAGACACCGCCACCCAGTCCAATGGATTCCTTGGACGAGAACTAAGGAAGCCGAAACCCAGCGGGCTGAGCCACCGGCCCTCCGATCCACGGTGCCGGCCCCCGCGTCGGTGCTGGGCATCCCGCATCCTCTGACCCACTGGATGCAGGGGGCGGGCGGGGTGGAGTGGGGGCGGCCGATCAGGGACCGCCCGGGCGCCCCTCCATCTTTGCCAGAAGAGGAAGAGAGGACGGCTTTGTCGCGGCCGCTCCCCACGGGAGACATTCCTCGCCCGGCCCCTCGGCTTCCAGGGCACGCTCCACGTGGAGGGCCCCAGCTCGCGCGGGCCTGGAGAGCGCTCGGTTTCTAAGAAAAGCGCCTCCCCTGCGCCCGCCGGCCCCCCGCCCCTCAGCAGCCTCCCGCTCGGCCGCTCGGGGGCCGGATCAATGCGGCGGAGCGCTCGGGGCCGGGCCTGCGTGCCCTGAGCTCGCCCAGCCCGGGGCCTCGGGGGCCGAGCGTCTCAATTCAGGCCCACTGAACTGTATTTCCCCGGCCCGGCCCGCCCCCGGCCTTTGTGCCGCGCCCGGCCCGCCCCCTTTGCTCACTCTCCCTTCATGCTTTGTTTGGCAAACACAAAACGCCCGGCCCGGCGGCGGGCCCTTTTCAAGCTTCGCAGGCAGCGCTTGAACACGCCGCGAGGCTCGGGTACCTGGGAACACCTCCAGGGGCCGGGCCGGGTGGACGACGAGGGGCCCCGGCCCCCGCCGCGCGCGGCCCCCCACCCCCAGACGGCCGGGCTTCACCAGCGCGCCACCCCGGATGCCCCGGGCACCGCGACTGCTTGCAGGCGCCGCCGTTCCTTTTGAAAAATCCGGGGCACTTCGGGGCGGGGTGGGGGGGAGCCTTCGCCTCGCCTTTGTGTTTTAAATGGCCCCGAATTTCACTTGACACAGCATTTAGAAGCCTGAGAACCGGTTTGGAGGCTGCAGCCCGCACAGGCCACCGAGGACGGCAGAGGCTCTGGCTGGACCATCAGTAAGAAGAACAGCAGAGACTAAGAGCAACTACCGTTTACTGAGCGCTTACTCTGTGCCAGGCGCCAAGCTAAGCACGTCCTAAGCTTGATGACAGTTAGACTTTACAACCTGGGGATGTGGAGATGGGGGCTTCCAGCACTGACTAGGAAGCTAGCGATCAGAGTGGCTGAGAAGAGCCCTCCCGGGCCCCCAACGCATATTTCCTTAGTCTACTGTTCTTTTTCCTTCCCCGGTGGCTCAGTGGTAAAGAATCTGCCTGCAGTGCAGGAGACCCGGATTCGATCCCTGGGTCGGGAAGATCCCCTGGAGGAGGGCACGGCAACCCACTCCAGTATTCTTGTCTGGAGAATCCCCATGGACAGAGGAGCCTGGTGGGCTACAGTCCATGGGGTCGCAAAGAGTTGGATACAACTGAGCGACTAACACTTTCACTACTTTCACTTTCACACCCCACTACCGGCATACTTCCTTAGTCTATTCTCTTTACTTAAATAGTGGAATCTATTGACATATTTTGGCTCCCAAGGAGAAATGATTTTTTTCCCTTCCTGAACATACCATGCTCTGTTGTGTTTTTGCCGGTTGCCTTCGTAACCTGAGTTGAAGAAAGTTTTTACGTGTTGTCACATAATTATTACCAGGGTGGCCACACTTCACTGAAGATTTCTGGTATGCCAGGTACTTAACTAAATGCTTAAATATACCCTATCATTGGATCCTCACAACCATTCTCTGGGGTGGGTTCTGCTAGTTTCTCCCTTTTACAGAAGGGAAAATCAGTAAACTGAAGTAACTTAGCCATGGTCACACAGCCAGTGAGGATCCAGCAGAACCAAGGCTTGTCTGAAGAGAATGCTTGTTCTCTAAATCATTATATGACCTTGTCTTCAACTACTACTAGTTATGTTTTGATTTCCACAGTTCTTCAAAAGATAGCCTTTTGTTTTCCAAAACTTGCCTTTCTAGTAAATTAATCAGCATTCAGTTACTTCATGTTATTTTATGTCTCTTTGAAATTAGTTTTTCCTTGAAGAGACTAAAATAGCTTCAAACTGGAATAACACTGGAGGGAAGAAAGGAGACTGTGGCTTCTTACTTGGGTAAGTGCAGCCATCAACAGGTGTCTGCTGGAGGCATGCCAAACTCAAAAGTGTTAGAACTTACCATCTCGTTTTTAGAGCTGGAGCACAGTCTCAATAAAAATGGTGGAGCTAGCTATCTGCCTCTCAGTTTTAGAATTATCTAGCACTGGAAGAAACTTCACAGATCAGCTGGTTCAACTCTTTCATTGTACCAATGGGGAAACTAGAGCTCAGAAAGGAGTGGGACTTTCTCAAACTTAAAGAGCCCCCACTGGAATTCAGATACACTGACTCCTTGATATATTAATTCCTGAATGGAGTCACCAGGTATTAATCAAGTGCTTATAGTGTACCAGGTACCAAGGTAAGGCAAAGAGTGTTTAACAAGATCCCCGCCCTCACAGAACTTCCATTCTAGTGAAAGAGACAGACAATAAATAAAGACAATAAATCAGTAGCAAATCACAGTTCTCAGTGTGGAGAACTTATTGGGAAACCTAGTAGATCTTGCAAAACAACTGATAAACTATTGTAGTTGTCCAAGCAAGAGAGACAGGAGGTTTGGAATAAGGATGGTGACAGTGATTTTCCACCAACTTGTTTGCCCAGGGGCTGCCCATGTAACTTCTAGGGTCCTCAGTCTCTTCAGCTGTCAACCTCAGAGAGGTGTTATGAGGGCTAATCAAAAAAGCACTATTCAGGGCTTCCCTGGTGGCTCAGTGGTAAGGAATCTGCCTGCCAATGCAGGAGACTCAGGTTCCATCCCTGATCTGAGAAGATCCCACATGCCACGGGGCAGCTGAATCTGTGCTCTGGAGCCTGGGAACCGCAACTACTGAGCCCACATGCCACAACTGTTGAAGCCCACACTCCCTAGAGCCTGTGCTCTGCAACAAGTGAAGCTACTGCAATGAGAAGCCTGTACACTGCAACCAGAGAGTAGCACCCACTCGCCACAACTAGAGAAAAGCTCGAGCAACAGATGAATGGATAAGGAAGCTGTGGTACATATACACCATGGAATATTACTCAGCCATTAAAAAGAATTCATTTGAATCAGTTCTAATGAGATGGATGAAACTGGAGCCCATTATACAGAGTGAAGTAAGCCAGAAAGATAAAGACCATTACAGTATACTAACACATATATATGGAATGTAAAAAGGTGGTAACGGTAACCCTATATGCAAAACAGAAAAAGAGACACAGATGTGTAGAACAGACTTTCGGACTCTGTGGGAGAAGGTGAGGGTGGGATGTTCTGAGAGAATGGCATTGAAACAAGTATACTATCAAGGGTGAAACAGATCACCAGCCCAGGTTGGATGCATGAGACAAGTGCTCAGGGCTGGTGCACTGGGAAGACCCAGAGGGATCGGGTGGAGAGGGAGGTGGGAGGGGGGATCAGGATGGGGAATACATGTAAATCCATGGCTGATTCATGTCAATGTATGGCAAAAACCACTACAATATTGGTAAGTAATTAGCCTCCAACTAATAAACATAAATGAAAAAAAGAAAAAGAAAAACGAGAGCAGCAATGAAGACCCAGCAGAGCCAATAAACTAAAAAGAAAGCATGATGCAAATGCACCTGGGCTTCCCAGGTGGCGCTAGTGGTAAAGAACCTGCCTGCCAATGCGGGAGAGCTGGGTTAGATCCCTGGGTCGGGAAGATGCCCTGGAGGAGAACATGAAAACCCACTCCAGTATTCCTGCCTGGAGAATCCCATGGACAGAGGAGCCTGGTGGGCTACAGTCCATGGGGTCACAAAGAGTCAGACATGACTGAAGCAACTTAGCACACACACAAATGCAAGCCATCCATTTGCTTTAACAGTAATCCAGGTTTAGTGAGTTTTAATCTTAAATAATATCTAGCACTTTTAATAATCATGTGATGACAAGGCAGAGCTGTGCCTTTTTTTTTTCTGGCTAAGTGTTAAATATGCAAGGAATACCTGAAAAAGTTCTCCCTGTAAAGACTCAAACCATTCTGCTGCTGCTACTGCTGCTAAGTCACTTCAGTTGTGACCCCATAGACAGCAGCCCACCAGGCTCCCCCATCCCTGGGATTCTCCAGGCAAGAACACTGGAGTGGGTTGCCATTTCCTTCTCCAATGCATGAAAGTGAAAAGTGAAAGTGAAGACGCTCAGTCATGTCCAATTCTTAGCGACCCCATGGGCTGCAGCCTACCAGGCTCCTCCATCCATGGGATTTTCCAGGCAAGAGTACTAGAGCGGGGTGCCATTGCCTTCTCCGCAAACCATTCTAGATAAGACTAAAGTCTCCCTTGACTTCCATCCTGTATCCTGCTTCCTTCTTCTCTCCTCACAACAATGTTTAAAGTGCTTGAAATTTGAACTTCAGAGATACAGAATGATAATGCAGGTCAGTCATTTGTAGCTGAATGCATCCAGAAGCATAATATTGGAGTCACCTGGCAACACCTAAACAAAGGCCGCTATTGGGGGCACCAACTTTGTAATGGACACCTGTGTTCACACTTCCTCTATCCCACTGTGGTCAAAGTTCAGGTGAATCTCTGCAGGGTGGAATGTCCCCAACTTGTACTTTAAAACAAGATGTGACTTTTTTTTTTTAATATGTCATATATCACTGTAAGATGGTTGTTGTGTTCAAGTACAAATATTCTGTGTCTTGAACTCGATCATACACTGAAACCAACACCCAAGTCAAAGCCAGGGATTCTCTGGTGGCTCAGCTGGTAAAGAATCCGCCTGCAATGCAGGAGACCTGGGTTCAATCCCTAGGTTGGGAAGATTCCCTGGAGAAGGGAAAAGGCTACCCACTCCAGTATTCTGGCCTGTAGAATTCCATGGACTATATAGTCCATGGGGTCACAAAGAGTTGGGGTCATGACTGAGCGACTTTCACTACCAGCAGCTCCAAAGCCTTCTCTGTGACTACTCCGCCCCCAAGGAAACCACTGTCCTGACTTCTACCAGCATAGATTAGTGTTGCCTGTTTTTGAACTTTATATAAATGAAATAATACAAGATGACCTTTTTGTGTCTGGTCTCTTTTGCTGAACATTAGGCTTGGGAGGTCCATCCATGTTCTCTGCATATGGCAGTAATTCATTTGTTAACCACGTCCTGTAGTGTTCCGCTGTGCAAATATACCTCAGTCTGTATCCATTCCATTGTTGACGGACATTTGGGTTGTGTCCAGTTTGGGGGTCACTTGATTCTACTTTATATATATAATTTTAAAATTATACCTGAACAGGGTTTTCAGCTTTAAACTTATACTGACATGAGACTGGTATACTCACAAAACAAAGCTGATCATTCCACCCTCTGAAAATGAAATTTCCATGTGCAACCCCCCCAACCCCACCCCA